ATTTTTCTGACCTTCGTGTACCTTTTTTTGGTGTCTTAAAAAATTTCTTCGATCTCCAAATTTCTTCTCGCATTTGTTGCATGAAAAATCTTTGTGACCTTCATGGACTGCTTTTTGATGTTGCATCAAAGTACCTCGTTCCCCAAATTTCTTTTCGCACTTGTCGCATGCGTAATCTTTGCGACCTTCGTGGACTGTCTTTTGGTGTAAAAGCAAAACATTTTTGTATCCAAATTTTCTTTCGCACTTGTCGCATGCGTAATCTTTGCGACCTTCGTGGACTGTCTTTTGGTGTAAAAGCAAAACATTTTTGTATCCAAATTTTTTTTCGCACTTGTCGCATGCATAATCTTTGCGACCTTCGTGTACTGTGTTTTGGTGAGCGCGCAAACTCGGTTTTTGTGTAAATTTTTTCTCGCAATTGTCGCATGCGTAATCTTTGCGACCATCGTGTACAGCCCTTTGGTGGGAAAGCAAATGGGATTTGTATCCATATTTCTTGTCGCACTTGTCGCACACGAAATCTTTGCGATTTTCATGGACTGTTATTTGATGCTTCAACAAATTCTCTTTTCGTCCAAATTTCTTCTCGCATTTGTCGCATGCGTAATCCTTGCGACCTTCGTGGACTGTTGTTCGGTGTATGAGCAAACTCTTTTTTTGTGTAAATTTTTTCTCGCACTTGTCACATACGTAATCTTTGCGACCATCGTGGACTGTTTTTTGGTGCTGGAGCAAATGATGTTTATGACCAAATTCCTTCTTGCACTCGTCACATGAGTAGTCTTTCCGACCTTCGTGAACTGTTTCTTGGTGCAAAAGCAAATATGTTTTTTGTCCAAATTTTTTCTCGCATTTATCGCATGCGAAATCTTTACGACCTTCGTGGACTATTTTTTTATGTCTAATCAAATGGCTTCGATCCCCAAATTTTCTCTCGCATTTTTCGCATGCGTAATCTCTCTGACCTTCATGAACTGTTTTATTTCTAACGTTCTTCTCGACAATATGTAGTCTCTTTATGTGTAAAAGCAATCTATATTTAGTATCAAATTTTTTAGCGCACATTTCACATAAGTAGTTTTTGAAAACTTCGTGGAATATTTTGTTGTGCCTAAGTAAAGTTAATTTATTTTCAAATTCCCTCTCGCACTTGTCGCATATGAAATCTTCGCGATCTTTGTGTAATAATTTCTGGTGCGTAAACAAACTCGATTTTTTTACAAATTTTTTCTCGCACTGGTCGCATGCAAAATCTTTGTGACTCTTGTGTTCTGATATTTGATGTCTACTCAAATGACTTCGGAACTCAAATTTCTTTTCGCACTTGTCGCATTCGTAATTTTTTTGTTGATTGTGAATTGTATCTCGATGTGTTATCATACTTGATTCTAGTGTAAATGTCTCCTGACAAATATCACAAACACATTTTTTTTCGTCTGAATCAACAAGGTCATTTTCATTTAAATTATCTTTCGAGGTAACTTTTTCAAATTTTTTCTCGCTTTTATCCATTTTTGTGCCTAAATTTAAACTATGGATCCTTCAACTTTGTGCCACAGAAAATAAATAAGTAAAATTTATCTTTTAGTATTAGGGCTTGCTTCATCGGGGAAGATAACATTCAAACTCATTTGCTTTTAATGTAAACATGATCAGTGTGTCGAGGAAATGTGTCAAAATTATCTATGTTTACGATCATAATGTTTACAATTTAGTTACCGATTCATCTGCTTATACATTTTTCTTATAACATTTGAAACAACTTAAAATTCTAACATGGCGACGATTCTATTAAGAAATCTTTAAATCTTCAAAAATTAAGTACTTTCCAAAAAAAAAAAAAATATGACAAACAACTTCAAGTTCACATACGAATGTTGAAAATCTGCCGCCCCCATGCCATGTCGAGATTGGCGTGCTCCATTCCTCGTCACTGTTCGTACTTAAATCTTCTTTTTTACTCGCAGGGTAAATTTGAATTATATGGGCTAAGCCATAGTTGGCGTGGTGGTCAAAAAAATTTTTTTTCTTAAATTATGTACTTTTGAAGAATACATTGAAAAGTGAAAATCCTGAAAGTTTCAGCCCTCTAGGTCCAACTCTATTGGATTTTCAGGGTCTTGAAGTTGAATTTTCTATTTCTGCTGATATTCTGCTTACAATTCTGATTTTCTAGGGTTAATATGAAAAAATTGTTGAATCATGGTTTTTAATGTAAAATTTGATGTAGAATTCAAATTTGTACTTAAAAATCATATTAACAAGTTGAGTCCCCATAAAAATGATATTTTCATGCATTAATCATATAACGCGTGCAAAAATAAACATGTTCGTATCCAGCGGTATGCCCAATATTGTAATATGTTTATCGATACATCAAATTACAACTTCTGATAAAATTGGTTATCGGCAGACAAACAGAATTCATTATTGAGCTTAATATGAGTCGAAAATTAAGGAAAATTAGAGAAAAACCATGTTTCTTAGAATTTTCCCAGCTACATGGCTGTGAAGCACTGGAAGGCACTTTCCGATCACCTTGTAGTTGCGACATAATGCAATAGCCGGAATATATTTACTCGGCGTAAAAAGAGAAAGAAAAAAAGAATTGATAAAAATAACGTGGAAGGGCTAATAAATTGAGTCTCGGAGAGTTGAAATTTCGTCGCTGTGCGTCGCCTTGTGTGTGTGTGTAGCTTTTAGCGAAATTGCTTTTCTCCCCGACACGCGTACACATAGCAGTACGGTTTGTTGAGCCAGTGCGCGGCTGGACAATTCAAATTTAGCGGCGAGAGAAGCTAGTCAAGTTATGGGCATATCTAATTCTCTCTCCAAGTTACAAGTTTTGGGGTGCGCTGATGCATTTGGCGCGCGCGAGTCATTCGACGTGCAACGTATACGTCCACGTCGGCGAGGTTCAATCTCGAAACCAATTTAAGCCCGCGCGCGAGAATCAACCTGAATCATACGGCAAGGCAGATTAATCTTGAAATTATTGTTTCGTTTTTTTATTCACGACAAAACTCGAAAAATCGCGCACAATTTTCAATAATAAAATATTACGAGGCAAAGACACGTATAAACGCCTGTGTATACACCGGTCTATCTGTGGTGTACAGTACATAATTTTAATGAAAAAAAAAACAACGACACTCGAAAAAAAAAAAAAGAAAAAGAAGAGGTAGAAGCGGTTTTCACGCGCGCCCGAGCTCGTGAAACTTTTGCACTTCCCCCCGTGCATGCGTGCACATAACACGAATGATAATAATAATAATAATAATGATATGCACGCGTTTTCCAGACCCTTTAATTTAAGCAGACGCGCGCGGCTCGAGCTTTTTCCTATTTTCGCGCTCGCGCGCAGCCAGTCGAGTTTTCCATTGGGTCGCCGACACCACCTTTATATACCTAAAAACAATGCCGCGCGCCGCGAGCTTTCGAAAAAAGCACGAGGTCGTACGTAACGACTCGTTTTTATATACCTATATAATATACATCGCGGAGTAAAACGACTGGGTACATGTGTGTGTGTATGTGTGTGCCGGGCGCCACCACGGTGGCGGCGGCAGTCGGCGTGAAAAATAAAAAGTAATATAAATAATCGCGTAAAAATGATGAAAATTGTCAGGCGCTTCCGTGTATATATACGTATAGCCGCGCGGCGAAACTTTTACACGCGGCCACGAGAGAAGCGGAGACAGAGAGAAGAAAAAAAAAGAGGATAATTGCGACGGTATCGTTTGAGCTATCGTCCGGTACGTATAAATATAAACGCGCGACGGTGCGCAGACACTTTAGCGCCTCGCGTACTCATATAATAGGCGAGTCCGAACTGTTTGGATATTAATATGCGGGAGCATAACTTTTTTGCGTTTACTCGAGTTTACGTAGATGACTGGTTTTTTTTTTGGCAATTTTTATTCCGCTTACAAATCGATAGACGTACCTACGCACGAGGTAGAAAAGAAAAAATAGGAACTATTTGGACAGCTTTGATTGTATTTTTTTTATCATTTGCATAGGTAATAATCAGTAATTAGCAAAAGGAAAACGAAATTAAAAGAATTTAGATATGTTAAAATTAATCAACGTTTGTAATACGGTCTGAAAATATCATGCACAAAAGACACGAACAACGATTGTACCATCGTTAAGAGAATATTTTTCGCTCGCGTATAGTACTACAAAAGCAAGAACGAATGGAAAAAAAAAGTATTTCAAAAGACTGCGCAGCCACGTCAAAATGGTGAATGCGGAGTAAATATAAAATTGCATTCGCGTACCGCGCCTCTTCATTCAAAAACCGCATTTTCTTTTCGACTAATTGAAATAAAGGCCATTCACCGGTCAACCAACTCTCTCTCTCTCTCTTTCTTTCTCTCTCCAATCTCATCTCGTGTCCACGTGTTTTTGTGTATACAGTACGCATTGTTTGGCAGAGAGATGCAGAAATAAACGCGCGAGCTTGCGCATTTCATTGTACGCCTATGTATACTTTTTTTCTAAAACGATGGCGGCATCGAAACGCGCCGCGCAGCATCAGCGGAGTAAGAGAGTTTAAAACTTCCGGAATCGTTCGTTGTGTGTATACGCAGTTGCATACGCACGACGATGTAATTAATAGAATATCCTCTGTTGTATTAAGTTGTCGCGCGAGCATCGACTTGAACACCCGATTGAGTACGAAAAATTTGACCTTCATTGTAGTTCAAACGGTTTTCTACGAATGAAGCAAAGAATGAAAAACGTGACTTGACATAAATAGTAAAGGAACATAATTACTTTCTAATCTTCGAAAACGCATCCCACAAGTCCGTATCTTTATTAGAAAAACTCTCTATAACTCTACAATTAAGTAGTCATCGTTGAGTTCGATCAAGATTAGAAAGTACATTGATGCATACGACGACACGCCGTGAACATCGAAAAAGCATCGATTCAATTGTAAAGTGAGTTTGTTTGCGGGCGTGTCTGTGTTAGTGCAATCGACCGTTATCATGAGTCATCAAGACGAGTATTATAGTCCGCTGGTCAACGAAAACAGGGTGGAACTTTTGCTGGGCTTGCGAAACGAAGTCAATTGGGAGGTCGCACACGACCGACACGATTTACTCGATGTAATCGAGGAGCACATCAGCTGGCCGACAAGCGACCCACTAGACGTCCGAGACTTTCTTTCGACCGAACAGATCGAGTGTCTTCTCTGGGATTCCGTGGATCGCCACTTCGGTCTTCCAAACCAAAACTTCATCGAGCTGGTGGCTCGCAGCGGCTACAGAGACCAGTTCGACGGCCGGCCACTGGCGCATCGGCGCGGCACACCTCTGCATCTGCTGCGTTACAATCGCGTTCCCGACTGGAGGGAAAATGTCCGGCATCTCTTCACCATCTACGATCGATTCGACGTCAATTATTATGTGTAATGTGTTCAATTACTCATTAGTTAGTTCGTTAATGGGTAATTTTTAACATACCAATCGAAAGCTTGGAACTTTCTCTTTCAGAAAATATATTTTTAATTAAGATGTTTGATCTTTTAAATTAGTTATAAACAATAAAAGACCGCGTCCCATAAGAGCCCGTGCTAAAATCGACAATTTTAACACGGACCGGCCGCGTCACACCAATACATGTGTTGGGTAAACAAGATCAAATTTCCGGTCGCAGAAATATTCAAAACATCACGAACAATCCTAAGCTTTTTAAAATCTACAACAGATTCGATGTTAACTACACGGACGAAGTTGGATTTACGCACTTTCACGCGGCCTGCATGTACGGCTGCTACTATACCGCGCAAAAGTTTCTCAATCACGGCCATGATCCCAATTGCATAGAGCGAGGAACGGATTGTACGCCGCTTCATTATTCCCTGACTTACGAGAATCCAGAGGTGACCGAATTGCTCCTGAGAAGAGGTGCGAATCCGAATTTGGCCGATGCGTATGGATCGACGCATCTCCATATTATTTGCAGTTCGTCCATCTTCGATGAAAAAAGCGCCAAGATGTTGTTTCAAATGAGCGACCGAAAATTTCAGCCGGTGCAAGTCGACGCCCGAGACAAGTTCGGCGAGACTCCGCTGCACAAGGTTTATCAACATCGCAACAAGCACGCGATTGAATTTCTCCTGAGACACGACGCCGATCCAAATGCGGCAAACGAGGACAGATCGACTCCTCTGCACGTCTGTTGCAAGGGAGATCTTGTTAATTACGACTTGGTAAATATCTTATTCATGTACAGCAACGAAAAATATCATCCGGTACAGATCGACGCTCGAGACATAGACGGCAATACAGTCGTCCCTGTTTTTACGCGGCTTTTTTTTACGCGATTTCAATTATACGCGGTTACAGAATTGAGACCGAAAAATTTTTTTACGCGCACTGATTTGATTATACGCGGATTCCTTCGCGAGTAGCGCCAATGATCATCGCTTATTCTATTGTTAATGGCCCTCGAGTATGATCCGATCATGGTGCGTAGCATGAAATTTAAGCATGATTGTGAAGTTGCTGTGACTGCCTACGTTGAATTACACAAAAATATTATGAGATGTGCTAAACAGACACGCGTTACTGATTTTTTTAAGAAACATTTACATGTATTTTTGAATAAAATGTTTTGGAAATCGAAAATTTATCACATCTTTGCATGTAACAACCCTTTTCCCATAAGAGCAATGTTTTTTTTTTTACGCGATTTTTTGTACGCGGTACTTTTTTGGTACGGAACTACCGCGTAAAAACAGGGACGACTGTACACCGCTAATTACGACTCTGGTCCACCATCAAAAGAAGGCTGTGAAATTGCTATTGAGAAGAGGCTTAAATCCAAATTTAGCCAATAAGTTAGGACGAACGCCTCTACATTATATTTGTGAAAATTTCCACAACGGGACTAATATGGCGAAATTATTTTTTGAAATCGTCGACGAAAAAAAACACACGTATTTGGATTACTACATTTTCGCGTCCAATGAATTTTCAAAAATTCCCGTAAGGATTAGAGAGGTTTGCGCTAGGCATCTGTGCGAGAAACTATTGAGGCGATTTTCCCGCGAATGGGCACTGGAATTTTTTATGTAATTAATTCACTTCCGATTGCCGATTCTCTGCTGCGAGATGATCATCGATAATCTAACGAACCAAGATTTGTATAACATTTGCGTGGCGGCTGCATTTAAAACTGATAGAGAGAACGTTAAAGCTGGAAAATCTCCTAAAAGGCCACAAATTGAATGGGGTGAAAATAATCAATGTAAAAGGAGTAAAGAGCGGTCGTTGGCTCAGTCGTTAGCATGCTAGCCGCGGAGACAATAGATCGCTCGAGGAGCCATGGGTTCAAATCCTGGCGAGGGCAATCGGATTTTTCCGATTGCCATTCGGCGGGTTGAGAACCCGTGTGCTCCGCCTGTCCCGGGGCGGGTTTTTCCCTGGAGGAGGAGGAGGGTGTAGTGCATATGCACTACGTATACCCCCAGGTTTCCCCTGCCCCACAGGTCTTCGGGTCTGGGCGAATGCGGGACAGTAGGGAGGGGGGGTAGTTAAATCTCCCTGCGCACGGGCTCCTAGCCCCCTGCAGGCCCTTCTAAGAAGGTGTAAGGAGAGATAAAAAAAAAAAAAAAAAAAAAAAAAGAAGATGATGATTTGTAGGGTATTTGCTTGGCGGCTACAGGCAAAAAATCGTGATATTTAACAGTAAATTAAAAAAATTATTTAATGTATTGTATTTTTAAAACTTTTTGTATAATAAATAAGTATAAAAAAATTCTTGTGTTTTTATTGTTAATATTTTTTTTTGTTTTATTTGCCAGGAAAAAATAAAAAGCTTCACAACTTGCAGCTACCCTTATCTTAAAATTATTCACCTAAAACTCTTTTAACTACATAAAAGCAATTTTATGAAATAGTATGACGAAATAGCATTTTTTCGCACATTTTATTGCGCAAAAAGTGTTTTTGGACTGTATAAGGTAAAAGCCTCATTTCAACACTGGTGTGCGGTAAAATGACTCATTTAAATGAAAGTATTTTTCGCTTACAATTGCATAAAGTTTTGTATACAACACGTGCCCCAACTTTTTCGGCACTTGTTACATAAATAACTAGTATGCAACACGTGACCAGCTTTTTCCGCACACTCGTGCCCAAAAACGATTTTTGGGTACTTGTTACATAAATAACTGTTCTTTCTGAACTTATAACTTTTCTCGATATTAAATGTTTTGCAATTAAATTTTTGACTCGCTTGAAAACTTTTACGTAAAGATCATCACTTTTTTATATGTTTTTAGTTATGTTTTGTAATTTAGAAAAACTTCGCACAAACATTAAATTATTTTATTTTATTTAGTGTGTATACATTGATACAGTACTATATAAATTTTCTACACTTAGTAATTGGTACATCTAAGTTACCTGTCACAGCATTTCAGGTCATCGGATGAATTTGAGTTCTATAGCATTTCATTTATTGGCCATAGGGCACAATCTCAGACTATAAACGTAAGATCATTTTTTTACTACTTGTACGTATAATAAAGTAAAACAGATTCATTAAAAATGATCAAAAGTAAATAATATATTCGATTTAATCGTATACCCCAGCCTTGTGAAAGTTGATCTTGAATATTGAAGGCATTTTATCAAAGCCAAAATCCGCTATTGGGAAGTGTCCGCTATTGAGAAGAGTAGGGGTGGGGGATTATTAAGCATAGTAAAAATTTGGGTCTTTTAAAAGCGTCCGCTATTTGGAAGTGTCCGCTATTGGGAGATTTCACTGTATACATCTAAACATATATACATACATGAAAAATATGAAAATTAAAAAATATATCTTATCTAGACACAGAAATGAATCGATCTGAAAATTTGGATACACTTCAGTACGTAACAAATTTTTTCCGGGTCTGAGTCGCTGCGTAAACCCACGTTATTTTCGAATTAGAGCACCAGTAACGTGAAATAATAGCCTAGCTCCTTTTTTTGTTCTAAATGTTTTCCATTTGTGTACCTTTGCTTCCTTCCTGCTTTGGTCGCTAGGGAGCTAATAATCCCAAAGCGTTCTTCCTAATCGCAGTGGACCTCGTCAGAGCATAAAAGGCAGGCACTTGTCGTTACTTACCACTAGAGGAATCTTAATGCACCCATCCACAGATATGGGTCAATTTTCACTTCTTTCATTCCTATCTTAAAAATCCTGGAAAAAAGGGCCCGCCGTTGACCTCCTGTTAATGTGTAAAACAAGCCCTGACATTTTTAGCCTAATCGGTCAATCCGGCACCGAGAAATTTTGCTTTGATTTCTTTCTGAAGCATGCCATGATATCATTTTTACGAAATTCAAACTTCGAACTTAGTGCGTGGACCGAAGATATCATTTGTAAGCGCCTACCTAGCGGTTTATCGCTTTTTTTAAGTGGTACTAACGTCCTATTTTTATCATAAAGCGATCGAAGAAAAAAAGTGGTCTTTTCGATCCACCCTACTATACAATGGCCACATGTGTTACACGTACGAGCAGCACGATCACGAGCACAGCAGCGTATCGCGCTGCGTTTTCACTTTCTCTTTCTAATTAATACCGACTCGTATTAGTTATTTACACATCAAGGGCTGTATGTGGTGTGGATACAGTCGAGGTGTGTTTGCAGCGTTGGGGCGCTGTAGTCGCCGAGGCTGCGTAGCGAAGCGAAGCAGCCGAGGCACTACAGCGTCCGCAACGCTGCAAACACGCTGAGACGTATCCACACCGCTAACAGCCATTGATGTGTTAACAATTTTTCTGCATAAGAGCTCGTTTTGAGAACTATATCATGCATAATTGTTATGTTCCATTTAATTTCTTTATAGCACTCTAAACTAAAAACTGTAACTTTGCCGCTAGTTTTAGGCTCTCGTCTACATACTGTATATGCGTATGTCTCGTGTAAAATACTGTACATGCAACTTGTGTGGATATGTTTTTTCTGAAAAACGAGAGGTTGCATAAAGCACTGGTTGTGCCAACTTGAATCTCATTACACTGATTTTCCTAGTGTCTTGATGAGTAGAGTCGGTATAACATCGGTCACGCTGCATTTCTTTCCATTATTCAGTTTCTACTGCTTCATTTTTACAGTCATCGTGTTTAGTGCGAACACAAACATGAATTAAAAATGACATTTCTATCTCGTGTAGATATGTTTGTATTCAAGAAAGAGAGGTTAAAGGCAGCGCGAGTTGGCCTGCCACTTTGACATGTAGCAGACAGCACAGGCTACACGCACGCGAGCTGAGCGAGTCGTCTCGGCTCGAGTCTGCGGGATCGCATACAGTCGAGGAGAGCAGCGCGCTACGTGGCGACAATTCACACTTCTCCTCGACTGTAATCAGGGCTCCTCGACTGTAATCAGGGCTCCTCGACCTGTATTCAATTGATTTCAGTACGAGGAGAAGTGTGAATTGTCGCCACATAGCGCGCTGCTCTCCTCGACTGTATACGAATGCCTTACTCACTGAGCACGCTCAGCGCGAAATCAGCCTCAAACGGGCTCGTATGCTGAAATAGTTATTTACACATCAAGGGCTGGTAGTGGTGTGATTACGGTCGAGTTGTGTTTGCAGCTTTGGGGCGCTGTAGGCGCCGAGGCCGCGTGCGGCCGAGGCACTACGGCGTCCCCAACGCTGCAAACACGACGAGACCTAATCACACCGCTACACCAGCCATTGATGTCTAAAAAATTTTTCTGCATAAGCGCACGTTTTGAGGAGCTATAAAATAATGCCCAGTGCAAATGATACAGATTTGATGCGAAGAGGGTTTTGCGAACCGAAGGCGAGCTGTGATTAGTTTTGAGTATTTTTTCGCGAGCCGAAGGCGAGCTGTGATTAATTTTAAGTATTTTTTCGCGAGCCGAAGGCGAGCTGTGAAAAGTTCTATAATAAAGAATTTATGCATAAATGCACTTATGGAGGAGTGATAAAATGTATATTTAAAATATTTTTATTATCTCAAAAATTTATTGATCATGTACTGCTTTTCATACAGAGGTCTGGATTGTTCAGGTATGACATTAGATTTTGCTTTTTCTATTAGTCTTTGGATTTCCTGGGCAGCTTCACTTTGTATTTCATCACTGTCACTGTCGCTTTCGTTGTCGCTTTCTTTTTGATTGCTGGTGGAAACAGCAAACATCGAATTAAAATTCATCTTGTTTTGGGTCTGTTCGTCTCAAACGATAGTTGGTACAGGTTATAGAACTTTGGCCGTAGCTGTTGTAGGCAGCGATCGCAACGTCTGAGCGCCGGCAGAGCGCGCTACGTGTCCTCGACCTATAATCATGATTACAGGTCGAGTAGGCATGATTTCAGTACGAGGCGCTGCTCGACCGTAACCGAGTATATTACCGACACAGCATGCCCAGCGCGTAATAAGCCTCAAACGGGCGCGTATACTGAAAATGCATGTATTCCCCCCTCTACTCGAATCTCTTGTAGCATCGGCCCCGCGTATTTCATGCCTTTACGTATATCGTAGGCGTAAGTAGAGTCAGTGATCGTTCGGACGTCGTTGCGTCAACTCGTCGACTGCGAGTGATCAAAGGTGGCAAGAATTTTTCAATCTATAAGATACGGTGCTTCGCGTGAGAATCCAATCGACGAACGATATGTCCACGCGCGTACACAACGACGACAGCGTCGATTGGACGATCGAAGAGCAACTAATCAGATATCTCCGATCCCTATCAGATGTCGATTCCTCCATCCCTGAACTGGAAGAGGCTACGGATTTCCAAATCTATCGATGGCGTATTCCAAATCTCCAAAATTATTTTTCAAGCGAAGAGGTCGAGAGATTTCTTTCGGAT